ATTAGACGTTAACGAAAAATATTTTACTCCATGTGACCCTAACGTGGCTACGAAATTAGATTTTACGAATGACGATATAAAATCAAGACTCATTTGACGCTAACGGTAGCGCATTAAAGGACATTGTTGATGCTGAAAATGACCATCCCCTCCTCTTTGACTGTTTGACACGGATATTTGTTCAAAACAGGCTATATATATACATGTTCACTTGCCAGTTAAGGGTCAAATAAACACATAAATAAGATACCAGCCATAACGATTATACATAGAACAGAAATTTAGCCCATGCAAGATTTCAGCCGCAGTGATTTTCTACAGTACGTCAGTAGCGAGTATTTTGAGATAACCCCCCACTTTGTATTTTACGTGATACTGATAACATTTGGCTGTCTAATATATTAAAATCTATGTTTTCTTATGTAATGACTCTACCTTCATCGTTGTCTATTCGCCACTATGTCTGTTAATTATGTACATGGTCGTATTTATCAGTGCAGTATGCTGCTCAACAATGGCGACCCTGAAATTTGTGTTGTCCGATTATGGCGCCAAATTAGAGGGAAGCAACTCGCGCCCGACAAAATTACCGTATTTCACCAAAATAATAAAAATTTCGATTTTTTTTAACCAACAGTAAAATGTTAATCACATTTATATTCACATGTTCAGCTATCGTCCCTTGATATAATTACAAACATTATTTTATTAAAGACATCAATAAAAAATTCACTAGAAAGTAATAAATGGAGTGCATTGATATCAGACCTCATGGGGTAGAGGGGTTAACCAAAAGCTCGTAACTTTTTTAAAAGTCTGGTGACCCACATTTTATTTTACCTTAAAATGCTCGAAAAGTTCATAGCTTTGACATATCCGTTTTTAAAAAAAATCTACAAGGGAAATTTTACGAAAAATCGATTTAACCAATATTTTTAGCCTGAGACTAAAATTAGAAAATGCAAAATTTAGACATAAATCTGAAAATGAAAGGATTTTTAAGTCTAAATCAACCAAGGGAAACGTTAATATTTCAAATTTAATTGTTTTTTCACATAATAATCATACTGACATGGTTCTAAAAGTCGTTGAATTTGATGTAGTCGTTATTGTTGAAAGGGTGGAAAAGTTTGGAAATGGGGTCAAAATCGCACATTTCGCTTCCATTTGAGGGGAAAACGAGCCTGGTGACCCCCTTTTTTCTTTGCATTTTTGGATTTAGCATAAAAAAATCTACAAAATATGTGAAATAAAAAATTTCTACCGGGGGTCCTTATAGGGGTGAACCACCTTAAGGGCCCGTTCAATAATTTTCTTCTCACTGTATAATTTATTTCTTAACCATTAGCTTTCAAATATGCTGATTTGAACGTTCCTAATCAAATCGAGCTAATATATCGAACTAAATGATTGTATAAATTGTTATTTTCTTTCTTTTTAACTAAAATTCAAGTCCAGCAATATTTTAATTCTAAAGTTTTGGACTCGACTAGAACTACTGAAAGGACTAACTAAAAGAATGTAAAAATGAGAAACCTGAATAGTACATAGTGTTTTAAATCGGCGTATCTGACATTTCACTATACAAGTGGTGATGACAAATGTTTCAAATGAGTACCTCCCCATGCTTCTGGTATATGCTCTTAAAATATACGATAAGTAATGTTTGTCTGTGCAAATACTTTCTAATTTTCGTAACTTTAGTAATATTTATCTAAAACTCATATTTCACTATTCAGATCTATTTTTCTATTTAGTCAGATGTCAGGCGGTACCCTGATATACTCTGTCTATTGTTTTGTCCTCTGGTTTTGAAGTTGACGTATTGTGTCGAGTACTTGATGACGAATAGAGTTTGATGTTTTTATCTGAGCAGTTTTATCTTTTTACTTGATTCAATTATTTTGTGTTGGTGCATCTTCTGGACGCCAATCGTTGATCCTTTCAATTGGAAATACGTGCATTGTTTTATTTACGAGTTGAGTGTGACGTTCATTTTCTCTGCACTTGTACACATTTGTGTAAGGGTCAGCTAAAGCCCGCCTCCAAATGGGGGAGTTACTCGCTACGTTGAAGACCCATCGGGGGCCTTGTGTTGTTTTATGCTCTTTGGTCGGGTTGTTTTCTCGATGAAACATTCCCCGCTTCCATTCTCAATTTTATATCCAGTATACCAGTAGAAACTTTATCTACACTGTAACTCGAGTAAAACCATATTCCATTCAACATCTTCAAATCTATTATACACATGACTTACTGTATGTGTAACTCTTTTGGCCCATTATACCAACGACGTATCTTATCTATACTGGCATATTAGATGCTTGAAAAAAGTTAATGTCGGACATTCGTTCATATCTATTTTGACTTTGACATTGCATAGTGTAAACAGTAACTGCTAACAACATCCAGGAAAATATTCATTTTCCAATTGAATATCAAATAATTGCATGTGTTATACTATATGTTAAGTAAAATTGATTTGAAAAATTTATGTGTTCAATTTTCTGATTTTGAAATTTAAAGTGAGAATTTATATTCAATACATGAACCAACTGTAAAATTATGCTGTCAATGTTTTGTTTTCGTTTTAATTGTTATTTGCAAAAAAAAAAAACGTGAAAGAGAAAAACAACCGATACGAAGATGGTTTTTTGAATGTTGAAAATTGAATAGATTATAATAATTGGATTAGTAATTTTCTGTATGCAGTGTTGTTAACACGTGTTTTGATGTCAAATGTAACGATACACATTTCTTATCTTTGTTACGTGTTAAAGATATAGGAAAATGTGGTATGAGTGCCAATGAGAGAACTCTCCATCCAAGTCACAACCTACAAAAGCAAACCATTATAGGTCAAAGTACGGTCTTCAACACGGCCCTTTGACTCACATTGAACAGCAAACTATAAAGGGCCCCAAAATTACTAGTGTAAAAACATTCAAACGGGAAAACCAACGGTCTAATCTATAGAAAAAACGTGAAACGAGAAACACTTAAGAACCACATCACCAAACGACAACTACTGAACATCAGATTCCTGTATGACTTGCGACAATTTTGATAATTCAGGCTAATTCTTTCATGCGAAAAGAACCATAACCCACGTTCGCCATATACGATTATTTTAATGCTTGTACGAAATCGCATAATATTTTTATCATGCTAATATTTGTTTAGTTGTTCCTTATCTTATATCGTGTTTGATAAAATGTGAAAACACGTTTGTTTAAGATAAAAAAGACAGGTTTTGAAATAAATATTTAAATCATAGACGTTGCGTCAGTTATACGTGACTGTATATAAACAACTTCTTTAATAATATCATGCAATGGATATTTTCCTTATAGGAAAAAAATTTTAAAAAAACGTGTGTTTTATCTAAAAGTAATTTTTCAAATTTAATGTAAAAGCATATATTTTTCTAGTCTTACAACTCATTTAGCCACAATTTGAAATCATTGTCGGATAAAATAAAATGATTTATTACTTTTTAAAGATTTAGATAGAGTCAAAGATAAATCAATTATCTTTAAGGCTATTGTGAATCCTCAGCAACTGTTGTACACTTTGTTACTTCTGACTTGTCATCGCATTCTTTTCGATTGTGTTATTTTACTTTTCATGATATATCCTGAACTTATATTGCGGTTGATTCATGCATAATGGGTGCTATTTTGCGTTCAATGATTATTTCGGATATTTCTTATTAGATTTATAAGAAGATTGTAACTATGAAACAATAGTGCTGATCCAAGTTGACGGTACGTACATGAAGTCATAGTCTTAGAATTAATAACAGAGAATGGAACTGTGTTCAATACGCGATCGCTTTTCGCTGTACTTTGTCTAAATGCCATTTTGTGTTTCCTTTTTTGAAATAGTTAAAATTGAGAATGGAAATGGGGAATGTGTCAAAGAGACAACAACCCGACCACAGAGCAGACAACAGCCGAAGGCCACCAATGGGTCTTCAATGCAGCAAGAAACTCCCGCATCCGGAGGCCTCCTTCAGCTGGCCCCTAAACAAATATGTATACTAGTTCAGTGATTATGGACGTCATACTAAACTCCAAATTATACACAGGAAACTAAAATTAAAAATGATACAAGACTAACAAAGGCCAGAGGCTCCTGACTTGGGACAGGCGCAAAAATGCGGCGGGGTTAAACATGTTTTTTGAGATCTCAACCCTCCCCCTATACCTCTAGCCAATGTAGAGAAAACAAACGTACAACAGTACGCACAGTAAAACTTAGTATAAGAGAAGTCCGAGTCCGATGTCAGAATAGGATACAAAAGAAAATAAACAAAATGACAATAATACATAAATAACAACAGACTACTAGCAGTTACTGACATGCCAGCTCCAGACCTCAATTAAACTGATTGAAAGATTATTTCTTCATCATATGAATATCAGGCACAATCCCTCCTGTAAGGGGTTTAGTATTATACCGTCATAAAATATATGAGAAGAACATAACCCGTGTCATGCCATCAACTGGTTTTAGAATAAATTTGTTTAATTCCGATGCAAAGACCCTATAAGTGAATCAATATTAAAGCCAAAATATGCAATTGTTAATGACCTGACAACAGTATCGTAACTATATCCCTTCTTAATAAGTTGTTTGTTTTTAGAATGCTGAAGATTATATGACAATGTTGACTGCTGTACCCTCTTTTTGACGTTTTTATATTTTATGCTCTAACATTGTTGTCAATATAATGCAATTCAATGCGACTGTCATAAAAGTGAGAGGTTTAACTAGCTATAACACCAGGTTTAATCCAACAGTTTTTTTTTCAATTGTTAGATGTGTTTGAGCTTTTTATTATGCCATTATATAAAGGACTTTCGGTGTTGTATTTCCCTTGTAGTTTGGTATTTTTGTTATATTACTTTTTATGTTATGAAATGTCATGTGTTGACAACGTTTCATATATATTATAAACATGGAAGAAGAGTATACAGACCAGAGTAATTATGAAAAAAGCTCAATTGTTTATTATCTTATGATCTTAATAGATATAGTTTATACATGAGAATGAAATGTGCCTTGCAATTATAAATGCAAAAACAACAGACGGTCAAACACAACTTTCTTAAAAGCTAGGAAAATACAAAAAAATATATTTATATCATGCACGTCATAAACCTGTTATAGTTTTATTCTGTGAATGTCACATTCAGGTTCAATAATGATGTCATGGAATTAGAAATCCTATTTGAAATACACAGGTTCATTATGAGTCTCTCCTTGCTGTCGAAAGGCGTGGGAGACATCATAATCATCAATAATTTCTCTAGTATGGTTATATATTTCACTTATCTCGTTTCTCTGAATCAACCCATGTGTATCTGTCTCATCATACACCGTATCAAAATCTCTATTGTGATCATAATAACAGACATCTTCATCAACATGCGACCTGTACTTCTGGCTCGTACTTGATACATCATACTCATTGCTATCAGGCAACCCTGCTTGGTCATATGTTGATCCCATTTTGTGTATTTCCTGCTGATCATTATCTGTGTATGTGTTGCTTTGTTTTGCCGAAATCATTAGATTTGCATCACTTTGATCTTTGTTCGCGCCATCCGGTGTATGAGATTGGTTTTCATGTATCTGGTCGCCTGTCACTGTTGAATAATACACATCAGGTGCAGTGGGTACCTCTTTTGGCATGTAACGTGTTTTTCTGCGAATATAGAAGGTAAAGTAACACATTTTATATGAACATATCGGAATATCTGATATAAACATTGTCCGTGTCGTAACACAAAAAAGTACGATTAAATATTTACCGTTGATTGTTTATTTTTGAAACTGATGAAAACTATATTTTTACACAACAATAACAATGATGATTACGTTAAAAGGGGAATATGAACAATCAGTAGAATTTCAATAGCATTCGGATAAAAACACACAAAAGTCAATGTGCTAAAAATAAAGAAGATGGAACATGTAAAACAATACATTTATTTTTAGTTTGGTTTGCAGAACGGAAAAAATCTGTTGCAAAGTAACCCACCGTTTAACCATTAATCAGAAAAATTCAAAATTCGACAAAGAATGATACAGAAAAAAATGATGGTTTTCAAGAAAAACGAAGAAAAGACAAACAAAAATATCAAAACGTTACACAGGTTACATTTAGTAATGAGTGACACGAACCCTATGAAAAACATCAGGTGCTCGGAAAGGGAAATCCAGTGTCACTGCTTGCCATTTTTAGCATTTCTTTATTTTGTTGGGATGTTCGGTGAAAGAATCAATCCCTTTAAAATATGCAGTATCCACTTCATGAAAATAAAAATCTGGTAAAGAAATTTATTTCTTCGACATTATGGAGTAAGAACAAACAGTGGTATACTTGGGATCAGAACAATACACTCGAAGAGACGACAGTGACATGCCTTCCTAAAAATGCTTACCTCGTGAACTAACACTTGAAAAGGTTATTATTGACAAAACGATACAAACAATATATTTGAAATTCTATATTTCTTAAACGAAATTCAGTAGGTTTTCTTGTTTTTTTTATTTGGTGGAACATTCAAATTGAAATTTCATTCGAATTTAACATGCAATGCAGAGACAAATTAAAATTTGGAAAATGTATGTATTGCATACACACTATCAACACCTACTTCGGACTAAAATGGAATCAAATTTTATTTTGCAACTTTAGAGCAAGCAGTAGCACGGCCCTGGGTGCGGGATTACTTCACTGTGTAGAAGACCCGTTGGTATCCTTGGGCTGTTTTCTGCTTTTTGGTCGGGTTTTTGTGTCTTTGACAAATTCCCTACTTCCATTATCAATTTTATTTACTGAATTATCAAATAAACTAAACTGTTGGAGTATGTTCAAGAATATTTGAAGCGACAACAACGATCTTACCTTCGGATACATATAGCTAGAACCACCACTACTATCAGCAATATTGTCAGTGAAACTGCTATTCCAACATACATACTAACTAAATAAGATATCAAATTTTGGTTATCATATACGTTAAATAGCAATTAAACAGTATAAATAAACAATACATTTTCTTTAAATTTTTATTGGGTCATCATCATATAGAAATATTGTATCGATGTGATTGAACAGAAACAAATAAAAGAATGAACCTGCATTCAATACCATACGTTTCAGAAGCCTTGTAAACCAATAGTATACAGTTTGCAGCCTTAAATCCGAAAAGGTCGTAGATAGTCTCGCAAAACAAAAACTTGGTTCATCATCTCAGGTTGTTTCTGTCTATGTTAGCAAAACGTCTGCATTGAATTTTATTCTTTATAAATGCATTATTCATTGTCATTTTAAGTTAACAAGCAAACAAAACTTTAAAAAAAGTAAAACTTAGTTTTTTATTAATTTGTTTTCATTAAATATTGACATACACATACAGCGTACACGTTGCTTTATTACTAAAAAAGTAGGGAACCAATTTTAGTCTACAATAATTATGATTTAATAATATATTTACCTTTTGAATCCACTGTTTTTTTTTCCTTTTTTTTTGGGATGCCATCTGTATCTACAAATTATGGATTTACTTATCATATGTTTATTAATATAACTCATATAACGGGTATAATTGGTCAAAAACTGTTTGATGCTGTTGAATCACATAGTTAATTTGCAATACGAAACAGTTAAAGATATTTATGATTTGTCTTGCCAAAAATTGTAAAAAATCACATATGTTTACGTGAGCAATACAACAGATGTCACAGGTGATACATGATCTACTTTCCCCCTTCAGAGCACACGATCAGTGTTTAGTTTTCAATGTTGTGTTTGGTAACTGTTTTTTTTTCTCGCTTTTTTGCCATGTTGTTGCCGGTCATTTCTTCGAAAGATGAATTTGAAGATCTCTTTGGTATCTTATCTTTTGAAACATGCTAGGTCGGTACCTATTAAAACGTTTAAACCCGCTGCAATTGTTTGCACCTGTCATAAGTCAGGAATCTGATGTTCAGTAGTTGTCGTTCGTTGATGTGGTTCATAAGTGTTTGTCGTTTCTAATTTTTTATATAAATTAGACCGTTGGTCTTCCAGTTTGAATGGTTTTACACTAGTCACTATTCTGGCCCTTTATAGCTTGCTGTTCGGTGTCAGCCGCAATTTGACCAATAATGTTTTACTTTTATAAATTGTGACTTTATATAGAGTTGTCTCATTGGCACTCATACCTGATCTTCTTATATCTATCTATATAGAACTTAAAAACATACATATAGTTGATTGATCTGTGCGTGATATAGACGTGTATGGTGGTATATCATCTGTATGCCGACTTAATTGCAGAAGAAACATGTGATTTTGCATATTCTATACTATAAATAACAACTTTACGTAGTTTGCAATATAACTTATGGTCAAATATTATATTTTCTTTGAAATTTCTTTTGAACGTACTTGTGCAATTGGTGATATCCAAAAAAAAATTTACCACATAATGTACTGATTTTTCATGCATCACTCGTTATGCAAATCCACGTTCAGTCCGAATGTCGTTACCTCTTCGAGTTTTATCTCATAAATACAGATTGATTTGGAATTTGACTGTCCTGTTGAAATTTTATTTCAACCAAGACCACATTTTATTTGTTTTGGTAGTGGTTTTCTTCAGAGACTGTAAATTTAGGTATGAACTACGTGTTCGTATTGATCATTTGAATGAATCTCTTTGAAAAGTGTTTCTTTTGTTAAAAGTAAAACTGATATTGTTTATGTTGTTATTAAGGGCCAATTTCTTTCCCAGTGATATCCTTTCATTCAAAAATAGATTAAACTTTGACTCAATGCTATTCCCTTTTTAAATTCTGTTTTGACACATACATTATTATTATATTTTTACATGATTGAAAGACACTGTTTACATGTGGCGTAGTTTTAATTTTCTTGTTCAGACAGGAATAAATCAATACCTATTGTTAGATTCACATTCAGAATGTCACGTGTATCTAGAATACGTGTCACCAACATTGACGATTGTAATCATATATAGTGTTTCTTCTATTATGTTTATTTAAGGAATGACTGTAATTTATTTTCTTTCTAAATAACATAAAAGATGTATTGCACACTGAAAAACCCGCGTAGGCTATTTCGTCATATATACTTATGGTTTAATTTAAATTCCAATTGAAAGGAGTAAATTTTGAAAAAAAACGTTGGTGACGTCACGATCACATGACAGAATTATGCCTATGAGCTGATAGACAAAACATTTTCACCCAATCAGAAAAGTAATAAACCTAAATTAAATTATACATGTTATATGATTATCCATTTCTTGAAAACTAGAAATACTTCATAAAAACACAGAGCAAGATTAAAATTTTTGTGAAACTTTCCCATGTCATGGTCAGTTTATTTTCGACTTATTGCTTGCAAAGTCCCTTTGGTACATGTGGTATCTGTCGCTTCTCTTTTAAAATGTTAATGCTTTTATATATTTAAATCGTTACCAATACCCTGATTTTTTGTTAACAACAAAAACAAAACATAAACAAAATAGATATAAATGATACACTACCGGAGACGTCTTTCTGACAAAGAGAATGGTAAGCATTGTCACAATTTTCAGCAATTAGAATGTAATTCGAATCGGTTGTTAGCTTCATTGCTAAACATTTGTATCCATTTTTTCTATCCTTGTCAGTTACATTATCTAAATGCAGAGATAATAGTTTAAGATATACATTCTTGTAGGCACACACAACATGTTTTAAAGAATCACAAACAACATCAAGTAGCAGGAATAAAATGCATGGATTTATTACAAGCATACATAGGACATGTAATCACAAAATGATGTAAGTATTCGTCATATATATATATATAAGGCAATTGATGGAAATAAGAAGACGAGATAAGAGTGTAAATGAGAAAACTTTCCATACAAATCACAATGTGTAAAAGGTAAACCATTATAGGTCAAAGTACGGCCTTTAACATGGAAATCATGTTCACTTTTATGATAATCACCAGTAAATAGACTATAAGAGACAATGCGTCTTCCAGTCCGTTAACATACATATATGTTGTAAGATACCATGCATGTTATATAAGGTAACCTTAGAATACGGATCGGACTGTAAGCATACTATATGCACAGAAGTAAATCATGTGAATACACAGACAAAACTGTATTTGCAAAATCACTCAAATTCTTCGCAAAATTCAAATTATCTTTGTTAACATATCCTAAGATTTAATTTATAGCACCATCGGAATTTTTGTATACTTAATGTATCATGATCCTTTATATTATCGGTCAGGGAATCAAAAACGATTTAATATTAGAGCGACATACTTATAAGTATACAATACATGTATATTGATTGCAATTCAATCGAACCCTTAGCATATTTAAACAAATATTGCTGACCTGTTTAGCCCCATAATATTTTATATGTGCTCGGCCTAAATTTGTTGTTCAATGGCTGTTTTTAGTTTAATATACTATTTATCAACTTTTTAGTATTGGTTTATACTTAAATCGTGCAATGAGTTTTCTCGTTTGAACTGTTTTAAATGTATACGTTTCTTATATAGGTGTAACACCACCATTGATTTTCCCCTATTAGTCTTTGTAAAATGTGCACTTTTCAAAAATATGTGCAAAATTTATATTTTTTTTTAAATAAAAAAATACTTGGCATGAGTAAAGTTTTATCCCGTCCAGTACTATAGAAAAAGTTTCACATAACATGTCATTGCATATAAGAAAATAACCATCACAAGAAGTTAACCAATCAAATTTTCCCCTTTTTTTAACATGTGTACAAGCTTTAGTAACCATGTTACCTCAAGTTTCCAAAATATTCTATAGAACCCCCCCCCCCCCCCCAAAAAAAAAAAAAAAGAATAATGGTGCTTTGAAATACCCAAGATATATGTTTTTGACACAGAAATGTTTTCCTGCAAAGAAATGTAGGATTAATTACCTACAACTGTCAAATTCAAGGGAATATTTTTCTTTTCGACCTATTTTCGTATGCAACTGGATGCGACGTACTATGATTTGGTGGTATTACACCTATAGCTGGCTACGCGGTATGGGTTTGCTACTTGATGAAGGCTGTACGGTTTCCTGTACCTGTTAACTTCTACCTCATTTGGTGTTGACAAAGAGTTTTTTTCATTGGTAATTAGAAATCTATTTATTTCAATTTTTGAAACTGCCAATTGCCGATTTTAATTGCTTGAAGCTTCCATTTTGAATAGGTATAGATAAAAACACCAAATCAGCTATAATATAATTATGTAAATGTTATATTTATTTTGCATGGTATGAAAGTTTTCTTATTTTATGTACACATAACAATAAATAAAAGCCGTATATAACCTTTTACATGTGAATAAAACAACTTGAAAGGTTTAAATATTGAAACGCAGCTTTTTTATTGGTAGTTTACCTGTATTCCAATCAATCCTCTCTTTGATGAACATATTGTGCCACAGTTGAACTGCTTGAAACTCATCAATATTTCCACACTGGTAGTTCAAAAGTTGAAGATATTTTCCAGATTGATTGCACGTTCGTCTTGCATCATACCAATTCAACATATGTTCGAAACACGCTACGTCAATATACCTGTTTCCATCTTACAAGTATGACAAGAAACACACAAATTATAAATAAAACACAAGTATTTAGTTCACTTGATTATGATATTATCATACTATGACTGTCAAACAGTAAGTGTACGGTTCAAATTGTAATGTCAAACTTCATTTACTGTAAATTTTTGCATGGTGAAGTATTGTTTCCATTTCAATTGAATGGCAAACGCTTGAATTTGACGGATGAAGGTCAAATTAACGACACAACATTTTATTGCTTTTAATATTTCGCCTAAAAAAAACTTGACAATATGTTTCATTTTTTGTTTGTCTTTGTGGTTTAAAAAGTATAAGAACAAAAATACTAAACTCCGAGGACAATTCAAAACGAAAAGTCCGTATTCGAAAGCTCAAACACCTTTGACGAATGGATAACAACTGTCATATTCTTGACTTGGTTCAAGCATTTTCTTATGTACATGTAAAAAATGATGGACTGAACCAGGTTTTATAACTAGCCAAATCCCTCACTTGTATGACAGCCCATACAATTCCATTAAATTGACAACAATGTGTTAACAAAACAAACTGAAATAGTAGGTAAAATAGAATAGGCGTACAGCAGTCAACATCGTTTTATAGGCCTAATCACTATAAAACAAACAAATAAGTCAACAAAGAAACGTTACTTTGTTTTACCGGGGATTAGTACCTTTTTCTAACAATGTAGGTCAGTAATATACGAATAAAATATGATATGACACCGCTCAATCAATCGAAGGCTGTATTAATTGCAAACTGTGTAAATATTTAATAGCCAGTACAGTTCAATCGTATAACTCTAGACTAAAAAACTAAAATTTCTATCGCAACTCTATACAGCTTTACTATGTTTTCAAAGGTTGAGTATTTACCCGAGTAGTAATAAAAAAAAAGGATTATTGACCAAATTTTGGACGACAAACATATTTAATAGATAACAATAAATATACCATTATACAGTAATCTAGAGATTGAGCAACAAAACAATAGTCAAAACAAAACCGGAGATTAACTCATGGGCTCCGAAAGATAACACAGTGTCAACTGCAGAAATGGAACGTGAATTATTTTTTATAGTAATGTCCATGGAAAGTCATGCGACGATAAATCTTTTCCAGAGTATTCCCAATCGATAAACATAGGGGACGGGATTTGTGTACAATAATTACGATATCTAAATATATTCGTGGTCATTTGTTATAGAGAAGAACGTAAGATATATCAAAATGGCGTATTCAAAATGTTGTATTTTATACCTCTACAAAGCGTTTACTGAATGGTTATTTCTAAGCAGCATACATCTTTGATACAATTCATGATTTTACAGAAATATCCTATTATGATTCTTCATCATATACAATTGCAATTACTAACCATGCTAACAATAACAAAGTAAACAATATGTCATGAAGAGAGAGAGAGAGAGAGAGAGACAGATTCATTTTTAAAGATAACAAGAACGGGAGGATTGTTCTTCTTTTTGGCAAACAACATCAAAAGATTACAAAATTGTATGCATTATTTAATCATCATGCTATATTCAACTCAAAATATCAGAATGAAAATACAAAATTTCGCAAACTACTATTACTTTTTGCGGACAATTATCACGTAGATTTATAAGAGTAGATGATTAATAAAAATTTAAAAGGCATAACATATGATAATGGTTTACTTTTTATAAATTTTGGCTTGGATGGAGAGTTGTCTCATTGGCACTCATACCACATCTTCTTATATCTATAACATATATATGACAAAAGAACGATATGTATTTCAGCGGTTATGAACTTTGCACTGTTGAAGGTAGACGTAGTTACTATTTACTAATTTTGGATCCTCAATGCTCTTCAACTTTATACTTGTTTGGCTTTCTATCTATTTTGATCTGAGCTTCACTGATGAGTCTTATGTAGACGAAATGCGCGTCTTGCATATCAAATTATAAGCCTGGTACCTTTGATAACAACGTTTACACAGTCATGCTGACCTGTCTCATTTTTTAAAACCTATATAAATAGTTTGACACCGCTCCGGCCTCGAGTAGAAGTATGGAATCATGTGCGTGCACCAAGAATCAAAGGTTTTTCTTAGTATATGTGCTTAAGATCACCAAAAACAGACAGGACGGCAGTGTGTACATGTATTTATTCATATTGCCAGCACTGGCATTCGCAACTTTAAAAATGCTGGACTCTACCATCCAGAAAGCATTATATTGAAATGTATCATTGATTGACATGATTACTTGTGCAAATAGCTTCACAATTTTAGGCATTGGGATATGATTATGTCACTATATTTTTAATATCACTTACGATATTTGAATACATAATTCCAAGAAATAATATTTAATTATTAAGCGACATTTACCTGTGTGTATGACCTCTTCACACTTAACCTTGAATGTTTCTTTACAACTACTACGTTTTACAGCTTTACTAGTGCCATACGTATAAAAACAATTTCCTCCAATTTCGTCACCTGCAATTGTTTATCTATTTTTTTCATCGTTTTTTTATTTTTTTAAAATCCTTTGCGCATCATTTGGAAAACAATTAAACACAAAACACAACATAGAAAACTAAACACTGAGCAACAAAAATCCTTTAAAGAGATTGGAGTGATTTCAGCTGCTCCAGAAGGATAATATAATCCTGCTCCAAGTGTGACACCCGTCGTGTTGCTTATGGTAGTACAAACCCGGTAATAAGTCTAATTCCGTATGTAATTGAATGCGAGAGGGACACATATTATGTTTATTCAAAGCTTACATGTGCTTGATTTCAATTGCATTATGAGCTTTTTCACACACCTGTTTACAATATACTATATCATAAGTACGATTTATATTGTTAATAAATGGATTTTCGTAGTTTCTGGTTTTAAATAATTAATTTTTGGCTTCGAATAGCTAGATATTGTCGCTGCCATTTAATAATATCTAAGGATTACAAGAGTTTAAACTTTGGAAAAGTTGATTTTTAATACCGATGAATAACTCTTGTACACATCAGGACGATACATAATTGCGATGTTTCTTTTTTATTTTCCGGAATAGTAATATGGTTTTACAGACTTAGCTTGAAGTGAACTTTAAATAAAAAAAAAACTGTTAATGCAGGAATTAGAAATCAAATGATACAATGAGCATTACGACATGTACAAGAACTGTGTTTGCAAAAACACTCGACATATATTACAAAATAATATGAATGACTTGACATTTCAGACAAAATGCTTTAATTCATCGCTATTATGTTTATGAGGTTAACATCATCAATGATATGAGTTAGAAATGATCCAACGAATCAAAATCAATTCAATATTAGTAATAAGTGTACTGTTATTTTTGTCATGTTTCGATATGAGAAAAAATTGTAAAAAAGAAAACTTACTCATCGGTAATCCTATCTCTTTAAGCTTATACGCTGAAAAAATATCATTTTTGCCACCACATCTGTCAAACTTGTCTTCGTCACATCGTATATTGCAGGTTTTGGTAGAAATCATCTGCATTTTCATGATTTGTGCCTTCCACAGTTGTTCTGTTGCAAGCGGTAAACAGTAGCAAGTATCACTCTGTGTGAAATCAAATACATTAAATTGTAACTACATATTCATCAACTATAGCACAATTTCTATACTCACATTTGTAAATCAAGAAAACTATTATCAAACTAAACTAAACGTCAAAAAGGAAAGTAATCCGTTCGAAATTTTATTCTATTATAATTTGAATGACCGTCCAGAAATAAATGATCACATTAATTTTGTAATATTTCCGACTACATATTTTCATCAGTATACAACAAATATAAGATTGCTTTTTAAAGAAATAAAAAAAAAAGATGTGGAAGTTTGTTTTGTAAATTATTTAGTTTAATCATGATAATGTGACTGTTGTTTTTTTTTTCTATCCAATTTTGTTTTCTCCTCGGTCTTTGTGTTGTCGGTTTTTGTTCAATTCATATTTTTGTTATCAACATACAAATTAGAAGATCTGGGGTGTTCGTTAACGAGCTAGCCATTCAAACATTATAATAGATTCACGTTCCATTTTAAACAAATTATTTTATAATCCAACACTAAATTTATAAAAAGACATATTATTATGTTTTAAAATATTTGACATATCTTCATTTCTTTTGACTACAACGAAATTAAGCGTAAAATGTGCACGATACATCGAATGAAAATCGGTTTTATGGTATATGAAATTAAGACAGTCGATACCTGGGACTAGTACAGATTCAATTTGTTCGTCTAAGGTAGCTCCCAAAATGAAAAGTGTGATCAGGTAATAATCAGTGTTAAAAGTATAAGTGATATTCAATTTTTAGATTATAAGTACTAAACCAATGTAGACAAATTATACGACAGTTTTCCATTGTTTTTAAATATCTTAGATGATTAAGAAGAGATAAACACAGGAAACAAACAACAGAGGGACTCGGATGAATTCTTACAGGAACGAGACACTGTGTTTCGACAGGGCAGGCTTTTCATGCTATGTCTGCATCACCCATCAATAGAGATTCACATTCAGTCAACATGTCACACAAGCAGACACAATAATACGGCTATACTGATATGTGAAGATCGATATTAGACCACGAAATCATGTTGATAGTAAGTTGAGACAGCACATCATATTGGTATTATGTAGTCCTACGGACTGAGGATTTCCGTCGTTCTTCTTGCTAACATTGCACGAGGGTAACATTTTAACTGAGATATGCAAACACAATACGATGGAGAATAGTTTATGTTACGGTTGAAAACAAAATGACAATTGGACAATTTAAATCATCACTATTGACTAAGATTCTGATTTGTGGCATTTATTCAAAGAAATAAAAGGATTATTCATTTGATCAATTAATGTTTAGAAAGGGAGACGATTTATATAATAATATTTACTAGTCAACATAAGAAACGATATATTTTCAATATATAATGAAATTGAATACACTGTACTAAGGTCAATAATTGCCCAATTGGTCTTATTTTTACAGAGTGTTATTTTCCTATTCAACCATTTAATTTAAGGCAAAAACGCGAAATTATTTGTTTTAATTTTTTGTTATTACAAAAATCGTATTTTATAAAAAAAAAAAAAAAATAGAAAATCGGTATTAGAACTTAAAATCTAAATCTTAAACATGGTCTGCTCAAAATTTTGAATGCCTTTGCAGATATTTGAATACTTAATTCTCATCTTCGAAATTGTGTGCCGACTTTTGTCATCCTTTTCCGCAAAATTGAATTTTACTCCTGTGTTCAATAACACGGTATTTTCTAACTTTCAAATTTTGTCAGATCATTTTAATCATATGCAGTTGCTTTGTAAATGAATGTTTTTCATTTGATAATTTAACAATGTTTCCTATTTATTATATTTTATGACAAATTGGAGTTCAAACTTGTGTATCGTTTCTTTTGTTGACTAGTATATTATGTACATGTATTGCTGAATCAGTAAAAACACCAATTCATAAATAAAATAACGAATTTCATTATGTAATACTTTAAATCGATAAGATATTATAGTCATAAAGACACAATTTATACAAATATAGTATCCAGATTCTTTTGATTTAAATGTTGTTCGATCACGAATTGTAAATTGTTCGATATTTGTCTTCTGAGATTAGATATTCTATTACTTTAACTTTCAAAGGGAATATATTAAAAACTGTAAGGGTATAATTATTTCCGTTTTTACGCATTCCCAATACATGTGGATGTTATCTTAAAGCAGTGTCAAATTTATACATCGAAGCTTATGTTAGCAGGTTGTTTGAATTGAGATGTGATCAATACATTGTATGTTGCTCAGATCAATATTTCCTGCTTTTGTTACACCGAACTTCCTGGAACCAGTTCGGACCTTAAGCAATCAAAGTAATGTTAAGACAAAATTGTTAAAAAAAACATGAAACTGCAGTAATTAAATGAGAAAATATAAGGGGTTAGTGGCTTTTATCGTTTACAGTTATTAACGTTACATTATTATTGGGGATGGTAAAATAAAATATTTTCTAAGCTGCAGCTATTCTTTTCACAAAACATCTAACGATTAAAATTGTTCGTTAGTTATACTGAAATGTGTATGACTAACGAGTATTTTTACTCTTAAGAGTTTTTGTAAAATGAGTCTGTTATTTAGTTCATACCATTGTCAATTTCAAATTTCATCGCTATGTTTTTGTTGAATATATGAAAAAAAGAGAAGACGATTTTTAAAGACTGTACTGTTTTAATATTTTTATTGATGTTTTTCCGCAATAGAAAAAAAATGTAAATAGGCATATCTACTAATAATGGCGTCTGAACTAAGATATTATAGTATCCTTCTGATTATACATGCAGTCATATTTTTACTGAACTGTAAAACAATATCTAGCTATATACTTTTTATTCAATCAAATGTAACAATGTGTTAGAGTTTGGTTTTAGGCGGTCATCTGCTTTTTGAATTTTACAGACCACACACTTTGCTAAAATAATATCTTAAGTACTAAATATATTTTTTAGGAATTTCAAATGCATTGAAAAATATATGCGTTTATTATGATTGATTTGTTTATTCATACATGTATATACCTTTTTAAAAATGTGTATCTTAGCGGATTGACTTGTAAATAGTACATAATGTGTATGATCAATGTGATCTTTGACACTTAATTATTCCTGAAAGAATATTATGGACAATATACAATTACTTAAATATTACCAAATTTACAATACTCTATTTGGTAAATCATTTACACAATATTGGAAGCTTGTTTTTCACATACTGAAAGATACCTCACTTTTAATTTGGTACGCAAAACAAATTTTCAGTGGCGCTCGAATCAAACCCGTTGATAAGACAAAACCACCTTCGAGAAAGAAAACTATTCATACTCGAAACTTCAAAAATAAATGTTATAAATATGCTATGGACACCACCTTTTAATGTCCGTCTGGTATCATTCGCCTCTCTTTGACTAACATGATTGTGTTTATATTTGTCAAAATGCATTTTAGGGATTCCTATAAAAGGCTCATTCGCTAGAACCATTTAGCATAAGGTGTATAAAAAACTGATGGCACTGCCACTAATCACATACATAACGAAATTTATTTTAAATATTACATATTAAACACTATTTTTTTTATTAAACACATAAAAAGTAAAGTCTTTTTGAGATTGTGCAAAATGTTGGATTTTACCTTCGATACTGAACGTTCAAATAATAAAATATCTGAATATAAACATTATTTAGTTCATGTTCATACAAAATCATTTATTCAGTTGGTACATCAAAACGAAATTAGTCAATTATTTCCAACAATTTAAAAATCTTAATCTTCGAAAACAGACTTAATTCTAGATTCCTTTGAAAATAATTGAATTGTTGGAAATATATTAAAATATGCAATTGCAGATATCAGGCAAGCAGATGTTCCAAGTAAAAACAGTATTTGATTGCAAATACCTGTAGTAAAATGAAGTCTTCATTCTTTAAGTATCCATCTTGAATACAAAATAATGCACACTTTCCAACACCATTATTCACAAGTTTTTTCTTTTTCGTTAATGCATTTGCTGTACTGTTGACGTCGGTTAAACTTATACACTCTAGCAAAAATTGATAACACAAATCAGATGGAAACAATTACAAATAAAGAAACAAAATAAATGAATAAGTTAATGCAATAATTTTATTTGCGAGCATTTTTTTTACACAGGTGATTTTTTCGTTGGTAAACTGATATAACAGACAAAAGTCTTTGTCGTTTTTGTATGCTTTATTGACTCTTTTAAAATCCATAACAAAAAACAAACGCTTGCCCATATCGAAACACGAATTGTTAACAACTGTCATATCCTGACTTGGCATAGGGACTAGTCGCACTTATTACAATCTTAGAAGAAAGTTTGAAAAGCAAACATGATTATAATTTTCTTATGGTCACGTATCAAACAATGCTATGCATTTAACAAATTAGTCAATTATTCTTTTACCGTAATATTCCATTATAGGTGATCGTACTGCGTAGCCATCTATCCAAAGAAAGGGCGGTTTGATTTTTACATTTCGCAAAACATCATTGGCCTTACTAGAATTACACGTATCTGAACGACAAGAATTGAATAAGTCTTTCCCAGACAATTTCCAGCCGTCTATACAGTTATTGGCAGCCTTAACCCAAGTATTGTTGGCGTCACTCACATAAAAATCTGCAAGTCAGTAAACAAAAATAACAATTACATGTTAACATTAATAATACATTTTTGTCTTTTGACTAATTAACAGTAGAGTAGACAAATTATAGATACAGACAACTGCTTAATCTGTTTCAATGAAATAAGTCTGGAAGATCTTGATTTATTCATTAGTTGGTACTGGCTTTTTACATAGCTGGGAGTAGTTACGATCGTACACTACTGGTACTATGTGCATTTTGGCTTCGCTTAAGTCATTTTTGTTGTGTGTTGTGTCGATCTGATGAGTAAAACTATTTTCAATTGATTCCTACACTTTTGTTTTTATTTTGCCCTGCTACATATTTGTTCCATGTTAGAAGATGATTGAGTACCCATAAATATGTTTTACCCCGCCAGATTTTGTATGTGCTTGTCCCAGTTCGGGATCCCATAATTCAACCGCAGTAGTTAGTTATGGTCTATGATATCTGTTTTTGTGTATTGATTCGTCATACATAACATGAATAAGGCTGATTGTCTTTTAGATCGAATTTTGCCATATTTTGTGATCTTAGGTTTTCTATAGCTGACTATACGGTATGAGCTTCGCTCATTGTTGAGGGTCTAACAACGACCAATAGTTGCTTTAATTCATGTTATTCTCATTGGCTACTATAGCATGTATAGCAGATCTCTTTATTTTTATATCTATAGGAAATAATTTTCAATGCCACAACGGTTTGTCGTCATTTCAAAGTCACATTAATACAATCATCACATAGAAATAGTGCACATCGAAGGACAACTTCCAAGATAGTTCACTGGTTTGAACAAGTTTCTTGGATAAGAATAGTATGGACGCCGTCATTTTGGTTATGTTACTTGGTAAACTGTTATATTCTATTTTTGTGGTCTTCTTTTCCAATTTCATGACTAGAACGAATACTTTCATACTGTTATGAGGAAAAAACGACTGCAATTGACACAACATATGACTGATACGCTAGGCCAGTGTCTCAAATGACTAGAGACAGCGTTTAAAACTTACGAGACCAGTATAGGCGTTTAATCTGTACTATAAACAATAGTCTGCTATCATAATTATGACGTTTTGACTGAATACGGATTCACATGTTGAGCGATGCATGCACAGCAGACGACGTTAAATCTGTCGACTCAGCCGGTCTCACGTCTTACATAGTTTATACTATTTCCTTCGTTTTTGTTTGTTAGTTTATTTGTTTCGTCTTACATAATTTTAGTGATTTACACATCGGTAAATTTCTATCGCCATAAGTCATTGCCTGAGTTGTATTTACCATAGAACAACACGTGGCTGTCAGCAATTGAGCAAGATTTGTTGATTCCTTGTAGCTTTTTAGCTTTACATAACGTGAGATAACTTTGGCATGTTAAGTGGTGTGTTTAATTAATTGATTGTTGGTTGCTGTGAACAACCTTATTTTATATATGATAAACGTTTGTTTTTCTTATCTTCTTTTACTACTGGGAATGTATTTTCTGTACTCTTCCAACTTAAGATTTCCGTTATCCCTTTTGATTTTCATAACAAGTTCTACATTGATAAAACCTGTTATTTATTTTTTATCAATGGGCATTTGCTTTTTACATGTTTGAAAACACCTAATCATAAAAAAAGAGATACCAAACAAATAATACCAATCACAACATAGATTGGTATTCATGTTTAATATGAAGAATATGGTATGATGTCAATTCCCCTATCGATATCCCTTTTAAATATCCTGTTGAATCTCAATGTAAGCGGAACATATTTCCTTGTGCATGGTATGATGAAACATATGACTCGACCTTGACATTTCAAGTTAGTCAAGATTTTCAAAAGTATGTTAATGTTAGTAATACACTAGCAGATTTAATTTGGATACTTATTAATATTATTACTGACTAAAGGTCACTGGTCATGTCCCTCTTATTATATGAATTGGTCGAAATTGAAATATTTGACACGATATTGAAATTGTTCACATTGAGTTTAACAAAATAGATATGAGACAATACATGAGCCCGTTGTAAAGATTACCGTTGTTGTTATTGGAAAAACCTTTCGTAGTGTTTTGCCCCTCAATGCTATTCAATTCCATACTTTATTTGACCTTTAACTCTTTTGATTCGAGCGTGTATTAGGACGACAAAACGCGAATCTGACGTACAATTGCAGCTGAACGACTTTAAACAAAAGAATATTAACCAAATTAAAAACTTACATGCAGATGGATATGTTTTTGATATAAAATTTCCCAAAACAAATATACGTATGACACAATACATAACTATATGTACAGTTACACTTATACATATGCTTGAGAAGATATACACTATAAGATTCATAAACATGTACTTTTCTGACATCCGATCGGGAAGGAAATAACAAAATAACTTTCACGATCCAATTTGATATTCATAAAATGCTATATATACGTTTCTTGTACAAGCACTTGTTCGTCTTACTTATAATACCTTAACAAAATGAAAACAACACGTTATGAATGTCATGCGGCCGAAGCGCTTATCTGGATTTAAATGAACTGCCTTAATAATGATTTGAAATTATTATGTTTTATTATGACAAAATAGTTAATAAATAATGATGGATTTTTTTTTTATTTTAACATTGTAAGAAGCTTCATTTTTAAAGTAAATAGTTTGGGGGGAAAGAGCATATATGGTGTTTAAGTTCAAGCGTAACAGTAATCAAAGTGCTTGTTAAAACACTCAATTACCTAAAATTCAAGAAAGGCTACATGTAATTGTAATATTCTGTGATTAAAGTTTGTTCGACGCTATCATATTTCGGTTGACCGTTATTGACATTTTGTATCCAACATGTACTTATATGAGACCTTTTAAAAAAAGCATGATTTCACAACATTATACATTATGGTAGACGTTATAAATCTTTGTTTTTGTCTAGTGTTAAAATAACTACTATTATTCTTTCGTTTTGTGTTTTTTGGGGTATTTTTTCTGTTGTTTTTTGTTTGTTGTCTGTTTTTTTAGCTGATTGTTATACCTCTTTTTACACTAGTAAAATTGAGAATGGAAATGGGGAATGTGTCAAAGAGACAACAACCCGACTATAGAGCAGACAACAGCCGAAGGCCACCAATGGGTCTTCAATACAGTGAGAAACTCCCGCACCCGGAAGCGTTCTTCAGCTGGCCCCTAAACAAATATGTATACTAGGTCAGTGATAATGGACGTCATACTAAACTCCAAATTATACACAAGAAACTAAAATTAAAAATGATACAAGACTAACAAAGGCCAGAGGCTCCTGACTTGGGACAGGCGCAAAAATGCGGCGGGGTTAAACATGTTTTTGAGATCTCAACCCTCCCCCTATACCTCTAGCCAATGTAGAAAAAACAAACGTAAAACAGTACGCACAGTAAAACTCAGTTTAAGAGAAGTCCGAGTCCGATGTCAGAATAGGAAACAAAAGAAAATAAACAAAATGACAATAATACATTAATAACAACAGACTACTAGCAGTTACTGACATGCCAGCTCCAGACCTCAATTAAACTGAGTGACTAGTTTAGCAGTCAATAGAGTTAAGAATTGTATTTAAGAACAAAGATGTAGGTAATACCATCAGATTACAAATGCAATCACCATAAAAACTAACAACTACTGTCCTTATATATCCCACTTTGTATGAAAAATACATAAACAGTACACCATTTTGAAAAAAAAATCATTGCACTCTAAGTAATAACTTGACATGTAATTATTTATAAATTTCACAAATATCGAGGATGAATTACAGTTGGCGTACCATCTGATGTGATCCGAAGCAAATTTGGAAAAAAATAGGCGTCTGGTGTATTACATGATAAGCTAAGTATCTTTGATGATTGTAAACAGAAAAACGAATATCAATTGAAAAAATAAAAACAATTGTTTGGTCCTTTTTTAAACATTGAAATAATTGCAATCCATCACGGCACTATCTTATCTATACTGCAGATTGTGTAATAACGGTGGTATGATGTTGTAGTGACAGTTAACACATGATCCTTTCTAATAACATGTATAATAGTATATTTTATTTCAACTTTGTTTTAATAAACACGTTTCTCAGATAAAAAGTGAATATAAAGGCTTCATATATGATCAGACGCTACTCCAAGATATGTTATGATATGTCAGTGATACCGGATACAGGACAGATTACATTACTTTTTTTTTAGTTAGGCTGCTTTTTGATAACGAAATATTTTTTTGCTAAATAGAATACAATGCATTTATTATAATGCTATGAAATGAGTCAACCTGGTCTCAAATATTTTCAGGTTATTATCTTGCTAGAACCAAATATTTAATTTTTAATATAAAAGTATGTCATAATCTATAAAGAAGACAAATCGTTTCATATTGCATCTTAATTGCACAAAAATCATATCTTTTGATATGTTTTTGTGAGGGAAAACAGATCCGGCATACACACCTTCATCCAGTATCCTGTGATATAGGGTTGTTTATTGTATGCTTCTGTTTCTTAAAACGAATCCGTAACATTTAAAACATATATTGATCCAAACCCCTATGACAGATGGTTGTATGATTCAGTTTTCTGCATATAGATTAGAATATAATATTTGACATTTACCTTCATCCAACACCTTGTGACATAAGGCTATCGCTCTTCAGTGCAGTTAAAAGGGAGTAGTTTAAAAACTTTATTCCCTTCTAATCGAACTCCTAGACATTTGTAATCATCTTTTGTATTAGGTTCTTCATAAAACCGTAAAGACCATACATTTTGATGTTATGTACATCTCAAGTGAAAGCTATAATTCAGTGCACAGTTTACATTGTTTACCTCCGTTGAAGCCATTTCAAATACTCATTATAACAGAAATTATATAAGCAAATCAATATGCAGTAAAATTTAGAATTTGCGCTAAGTAAGATATTAATATTCATGAAATACAATATTGAATGAGTAATTTGTTGGTTTAGAGTGAAGTTACTTTAAATTTGAAAATATTGAACACAATGGAGGCGATCATTTGATTTTGAAATATGCGTGAGTTTATACCCTTGAATTAAAGAAGAATGAATTGGTTTTTTTTTTTCATTCGAATTTGTTCATTTGTATGTTAGTTGTTATTTAATTGAAGTCACCGATGAGATCCAAAACATTAATGATAGTAATTACCTATTAAGACTAAACGCTGTAGTTTTTTGTCTTTGTGCATGATTATAAATGTTGCCACACAATGATACACGTTAGGAAATTAATTAATATTTTTTTATACGTTAAATGTACCATTTACAATTGTGTTTTGCTTGTTTGTTGTTGTACTTGGTGAAGTAACTAACCATAAATGTGGTCATAAGGACGCTTTTCTTATGATATTTTGAAGTTTGCACCTGATTCTTATGATGCTTGAATAAATGCTTCATACAATATTTTTAATACATTCATTATACATTGTGTTGCATTCAATACAAATCTTACTTGTGTTCCACACAAACGACAACTTTACAAAGTTGTATAGCGAGTGATTCATATTGACTGCTCCCGATTCTATACTACAACTTTCACCAGACTTATTTGATATTTTGAAGTTTGCACCTGATTCTAAACAATTATGAAGTGATTGGATCCATGTTAAAGGAATCTCAGAACAGTTTGTTTCTATTTTTTTGCCATCATCTGTAAAACATGATATTCAACGGTTGTATTTTCTCAACATTAAAAAAAATGAAAACAACACGTTATATAAATTTCATGCTTCTGAAGCGCTTTTCTTGATTTACCTTTACCAGGAACGCTCAAAGCCAAATATTAACCTATAACTTCTTAATGTAAAGGTCGTGACTACTTATTTGCGAAAGTATGGTAACACATGTTTATAACGCATACACTTTTTAGCAACAAACCTTTTTGTGCCATATACTAATTTTCCAAAAGGATTTATTTACGCTTATTTCGCGAGTAGGAAAATAACGTGAAATATTCGGCAAAATGTATGAACATTTTTTACACATGAACATACTTTTAAAATTTCATTTATAAATCACTGGGATGTCTGTTGGAAATTTTTTAAACGTAAAAGATAGGCGCAAAAGTAGGTAGTCCTACAATACCCATATATCATTTGGAGACAGCAAAAACAAATAGTACAAAATCGAAATACTGAAAAATACTTTAGATTTGAGGGATTAGTTTGTCCCTAACATTGTACTCAATCGGTAAATGGTATGTCGAAATCATAGGTTCATAACAAGTAAGAATTGTATATCGCTTCATATCAAAACAAGTTATATAATTTCAATATAATAATAAACGAGCCTTTGGCGAGATTATTATTACTATTTAAATTAGATTTAAAGTACTAAATATATTTTTCGGAATTTTAATTGCAATGCAAAATGTATGTGTTCTTTATTTTGATATCCAATTCCCACGAGATGTTAAACATATTTCACTTATGTTCAACACTCTCATTGTGTTAAATTAAAATTTCTGACAATCCTTGATCTAGTTTTTTGCACATACCAGTATGGCGTCATATGTTCTGTTCAAGCGTCAAATTTTAACATCAGACATTTTAAAACTTTGTGTACGCTTCAGAATGTAATGAAATATGACAAAAAGACGATTGTCAGGTCTAAAGTGTGAGTGTTTTGTGTATCATTGAAGAAATCCTTTATGTCCGGTGCCATGGACGAAATGTACTTCGTCGTACCCTTTGAGATATATCAATGACTTAACGAATAGCCAACGGATATGTCGTTGTATCGTCTCATGATGCTGGATAAGCCAATCAAATTAACGCAATTTTCGTATCTCTTTTTCGTATCACACTCCGTGTAGTGTAATACGAGAAATTTATCGTCATGCAAGAAATAGATAATAGGCCAAAACCATAAGAGAAAAGTTTCTAGTCATTTCAAATAACTCTAAAAAAAAAAAAAAAAGAGGCAATTTGCACTTTAAGAGTGAAATGGGATAAGGTAGTTATAAAGCATTTTGATTTTGCTTTTGGCAAGTGACATATGCAAGGTCTTGAGAAAGGAAATAAGAATCTTACACCTTTTTTGTCATATAGCTCTTCAACTATTTGGGTTTTTATACATCCTGGCTTACAAATAATCGGCTTTGAATGTTCCTGATGAATGTAAATCCAAAAAGCTTTTTGGACGCATATAATTTATAAAGTGTTGTTTTGATTTTTTACAAGGCCAAATTGTATTAAAAAAAAAGAAATGATGCTTTTGCCAATACAGACATGTTTGTTTCTTTTTTTTAATTATGATAACATTATGATCCCACAACAGTTACAAA